TGTGTCTGGTACTGATGCTTGTGGCTGAACCGTTTCTTCGCTGTGCTGCTGCTGCGGCTGGTGGCGTGGTCCCCCGAACGAGAATGGCCACGCCTGCAGCCGACGACGATCCCTCGGTGACACTCACGAACTGCTTTCCCAGCGTTGTACTCAATCCTTCCAACATCCCATACACCTGCGAAGTCAGCGATGCCCAACCACTGATTGACTTGGACCTCTCCGCCTCGTACTACAACCCAGCAGGTCTCAATCCTGGCTGGCCGGCGACTCTTGTCGAGGGAACCAATACCATTACATTCGTGCCTGATCGTGGGGCACCTTCAGGACGTTGGGGCTTGGTCATAACTAAGTTTGCTGCCGATATAAGCTCTTTCACTCCTATGACGACCAATAAGAGCATGGACTTCATGCTGATTGGTACGGCCCATGCGAATTTTGCTACACTCTATCCGTATTACGGTATGGGTGTATCGTTTGCACCCAATCTTCCGAGTGGCACCATGGCTTCCGACTACATGCTGGTCCGCTCTTTCAATGACTGCCGGTACACCACTACAACCTGCACTGACACTGTTGGGTGCTACAGAATGCTGCCACCCGGAAAGCTTCCCCCTCCAGGAGAATACAGGCTCTGTGTGACGTCAAATGACTGGCATGACCAATACCTTCTGTGGGGTGCGGAATCTCTTGAGGTGAAGCTGCTGTTGAGCACGCCGCTGTACTTGACATCTGGTAAAGACAGAAATGTCGTGCTGCAGGATGCGGAATCTGTGGTCAGTGTGTTGAGGCGTGTGTTCCTGGTGCGGTGCCCTGGCAACAACTGCCCCCTTGTGACTACTGGCAGTGGGGAAGAGGTGGTGCACCGTGATGCGTGTGTGAACACCTCCGTCTCGTCGCGGGTGTACCTGTCCGACCTCCGTGTGCTGTCTGCAGAAGCTGGCGTGTACGCTGTGTGTGTCGATGATGGTGATGGAGAGTACACTGCTCCCGCTGCGCTGCCGGTGACGGTGCTGCAGAAACCCTTTGCCTTCAAGATAACTGTTGACACGGACCAGAACACTGCCACGATCGATGTCAGCGGTGGGGACCTCAAGTGGCGCAGAGAGCCGTACACGGTGTGCGCTGTGCCGCTGGGTTTGAAGTGCGATTCCGCGACTACCTGGATTGTTATGTGCGAGAAGAGTGAGTTGCCGTGGTCACCGTCCATCTTTCTGAATATCACCAAGAGCGGATTGCTTGCTAAGGATATGAAGTTCTGCTTTCTTGCGGCCAACGTGACAATCGGAGGACGCACCCACACACAGATGTTCGATTTGTCGGAAGGGAAGGGAGAGAAAAAATTGTCCGCTGGAGTCATTGCCGGGATTGTCATTGGATGCATCGCTTTCTTGATTGTTGCGGTTGCCGTGTTCTACTTCTGCTACTGGCGACGAAGGCCGAATGCGAGTAGGGACGACGATTACCCTTCAGCCTCTGTGTTGGGGCATCCGACGAAGAGGAGAAGCTACCCCGTGGGAAATTCCCGTGTGACATCTCGTGAAGGTGATGACGGGAACTCAAGGAGTATCGGTGGGTATCCTTCGCTGTTTTTGCCGTCAGAGGTGGATAACCCCATGTCCGATAGGCAGACGGGGGAGAGTACATTTCCCAACGTGGGGTCTACTGGGCCTCAGTATCATGATGGCTATTCAGACGCCATGACGTCTACGAGTTTTGCGCCGCATGGGAGTGGGTACGCGCCACAATCTTACGGGTGGTCATATCCTTCTTCCGTCAGATGATATGCCGAAGGCCTTCTTTTCGGACGTGAGGTTGCCGGACAACCCATTCAATGATCCGGCGTTTAGAGGTACGTTAGAGCTAGAATGTTATGAAGTCGCCAGGGGGGTGCGCTTGACCCCAGTAGAAATTGACAAACCCTTGTGCAATGTGCGTAAACCCGGAATAGGAGGCGATGTAGCGCCCTAAGTGCGCAGGCTTCCGCGTTCCAGATATGTAAAGCAACATCTCTGTTAAGGTGCGCGGGCCCACTGACTTGAACGGCGCAGCTGCTCCGCTTCTGAGTAGGAATCAAACCGGTGTGGCTCGTGGTGCGGCAAGTCCAGAGGGGGCGCCGCTCGCTCTGCACTTGTAGGAATACTCTTTTTTTCTGGGGTCTGTGTAATCGGCGGGTGGTGCGCCTTGGCGGCGCGCGGTGGGAGGGCTGCCGCTCCACATGTGTGGCGGGAGGGGCACGTGTCGTGGTGGGCAGTCACGCGGTCTGAACGAGAGCGATGTGGTGCGGTGAACTGCTGTGTGTCTTGCCTGGTGGACCGCCCGGTGTGTTGCGGCGCTGCCCAATCGCCAATGGTGCAGCCACTTTCTTTTTTTTTTTTTCGTTTTGGCAAAATATATATATTTTTTCGTTTTGTATCGACCGCATGGTGCAGGAACTGTGGATCTTGTTTGGGCGCGCATGACGCTTGAGAGCGGAGTGGGGTGAACGGCGTGTGTGACCTAATGGGTATTCCGCTGCGCGGATGGCGGACGGCATTTAGGGTGTAGCTGACCCCAATGATGTGGTGAGGCGAGCCTTATTCATACAGTGGTTTATTGTTTTTGTTTACCCGCAGCAAACGAGAAACAGTCATATACCTTTTTTTCGACTGTCAGGACCCCGTGGAGCGAGTGTGAGAGAAGGAGCCGCTTACTCCATTTGTCATTATTTCCGAGCGGTCAGCTACCATTCACTATAACCAAGGAATGAGCATGTATATTCCTGTTCAGCGGGGGCGGGTTCCGGCCTTTTCTTTTTTTACCCTCCCTCCTTATTTCGCTCCTCTCTGGCGCCTCTCTCAATAGGGGTGGGGGCACGGTGACCCCGAGTCCCACGCCTCCTCCCTGTGGCGAGAGAGGCCTCTAGTGGCAT